TCCAAAGTGAGGCCTATTCCTGTTGATTTTACTTCATAATCAACTTATGCTTATACTGTTTATAATAAAGAATATGAGACAGAACTACTGAGTGTCAAACTGGAATTTGTTACAAAATATAGCATACATTTTAAACTTTCAGCAACAAACAGTTTTAAAAGTACATACTAGCAAAAACACATACTGGTCACTTTAAAAGACCATCATCAGGGAAACCGAAAGTACAAAATAAAACATTATATATTATAGAAAGATAACATTTAAGAATATGTATACATTAATGCTATTTACATCAGTGCTGTATTTGTGTTAAAAATATGTTTGTTAAATTTTTCTATAATTGTAATTTTAAAATTTTTATGATGTTCTATGTTAACTTTGAGAATTTTATACTTTTAAATTTTAAAATTTTGTAATATTATATATAATCTTAGAGAATTCTTTTTGTATTTTTGAATTTGTAAAATATGCACTCTTTCTTATAGTGGTGCACACTCAGGAATTAATATTGGGGAGAGAACCAAGTTGAACAGATAAAAAATTTTTTAATACAAATTCAATAAAATTCCCTTCTTATGTGATCACTAATTCATAAGTACTATAGAAATAGATGATATGACACAATATAAATTAAAAAGGAATTCTGATTAAGAAAAGATTTTCAGAAAATTTTAGTTTTTTTTTTTTCTTTGGAGATTGCCAGGGTCCCTCCAAAGAAAAAGGTGCACCACCTTTGCCTCCCATTGCCAGTTCTGGATGCACCCCTATTTTCTTATATGTCCCAAATATAATGATACAATGAACTTGATAATGATCTTTAAAAATGACCAAAAACATTAGTAGTACTATTAAAGTTGTTTGTTATGCTGGAGGTTTCAGGTGTGTGGATATATTTTAATAGTAGACTGAGTTTTGATGTTTATTTCTTATTCAAAAACATCAAATCTAAAGTTTTTATTCCTTGAATGGAGAATTCTGAGATCAACTTCAGGAATTTGCAAGCCTAATAAGAATGTTTGCACTTACCATTTTCCATGCTGACAATAGTCAATATCCATAAACTATCTTATAATATAATAATAATAATATCTTATAATGTAGCAAAACTAAAACAATAATAAGCTGTTCTGTATTAATTTGTCTCAAATCAATCATTTTTCATCTCTGTATAATTTCAATAAAACTGTTTATTAAAAGTTCTTTTTCAAATAACTAGTTTTAGTGAAGGAAAAAAAATTTAATTGGTTATAATGTAAAGAACAAAGATTCAGTACAAAGATTCTTCTTTTTTTCTTGTGACTTGGAACATATTTTTAATTAATAATGTAATCACTAGAATAAGTTAATAATAAAAATAATTTAGATGATAAGAGAGTATACTGATAAGAATGCCATTAATGTATATAAAAAACTGTTTAGTACAGAGTATACGCAGTTGTAAATAAATAAAAAAATCAATTATATTTTGTATTGAGGTACAGTACATTGAAGTACAGTAGAGTCTGGTTTTATGTGGAATTGATATACAGTCGAATCTGCATAAGTCATCATAAGTATAAATAGACATCATGGTTAAATAGCCAGTTTTCTGTGGTTCCAGCCGACATACATAGGCATCAGTATTAAAAAAACTCTGGTTTACTTGACACTGTTTAACTCATCACTACTGGATAAATTGACATACTTTTTCTGTCTCACACTCATTTACACGTTTGATAAGTGGACTCTTCTGAAAAAAATGAGTTCACACCACACAGCTTAATGTCACAGCAGAATCCAATTTTGCATTTTCTCACCTCTCATTCATGCGTTACTTGTAGCACGTGTTTCACATCTGTTAGAAATGAGTATCCCAAACCTAATAACACTTATGCTGAAGGAAAAATATGAACTTGTATCTGAATTTGAATGTAATAAAACTTCTCAAACCAAATTTGCAAAACAAGAAAACCTTTCAAGAAAAACAATGGTGGGAATTCTGAAGAAAAAAGAGGAAATTAAGAAACTTTTTCTTGGGTCTTTGTCACGGCTGTCTCAAAAACGCCAGAAAAAGTCACTATACAAAGATGTCAAAGATGCTCTGGTATGTTGGCTAAAGCAAATTCATTCATCAAATTTTCCCATTTCAGTGCTGATACTGAAACAGAAAGCGATGGAAATCACTGATATACTTGGAGTAGAAACCAACTTAAGTGCCAGTGATGGATGGTCAGAGAGATACATTGCATGTACTGTATAAAGTACTACTTGTAGTACTTTATACAGTACATCCTAATTGTAGTTTTATGGTTTTTTTTTTTCAAGTTTGTTTTAGTTTGAGGCGCCAACGCCTACAGTCGCCACCAGAGGGCCTCGTGTGGATGACGTCAGCGTTTCGTCAGATCACCGCGCTTTTTCGACTTGCCACGAGGCAGTTCAGGTGTGTTCGACAAGAGCTCCGCTACTTCCGACTAGACAAAAGATTGTAGTGCTAATCGACCATCGCCTACATTGGTGAGCCGAACATTAAAACTCATCGAATTTACAAATTTCGCCTGGAGAACAGAAATATTTTACCAGGTACGTGAAAACAATGAGTCAACCCGTGGTCGGCCACGTGGCCGTCAAGCCGCCGCCATTTTGGACCGAGAGCCCAGCACTTTGGTTCGCCCAGTTGGAGAGCCAATTCGTCCTCGCGAATATATCCAACGATGAAACGAAATACAGCCATGTAGTCGCGAGTTTATCGGAACGTATGGCTACCGAAGTCCAGGACATTTTGGCCGCTCCTCCGAATACCGACAAATACAAAGCGATTAAACGGGCACNTTTATTCTCAATAATTTTCAAATGTTAAAAATGAATATTTATATTTAATAGTAAATTTAGGAATTACTTATTCGCTAGTGTTTTTATGATTGTATTAATAAAGAGATAATGCTACGGTTCAGTTTTAGTTACGTTAATTAATTTTCGATCGTTCGAAAATTAACTTTTTCTTTACCGTATTTCATAATATTGTTGAACACAGTAAAAAATTACTAAATTTCTTATTAATATTTTAAAATATTATATTTTTTTTTCTATGGAAATCGAATAGAAATAAACATAAACGTAATGAGCAAAATAGGAGGAACACGTCCTGTGCTTTTTTCTATTTTTATATCAATTTATAAATATTTTTTATAACTTAAGTTTATTGTAATATAACGTAATTATAAACTCGCGTATATTACTTGTATTATTAGTAAAATAAATATAATTGTCTTTGTAGTTGATTATTTTAGAAGTTTTCATTTAAATTTGATTTAAAAATATTGAGTGTATTTAAATTACATAAATATTCGTCTCTTTTAATTAATGACTTTTAACTTGTTTGGCAATGTTATTGGAAACCAGAAAACCAGTTTCGGTTTACAATTGAAGTTTCCTGGAATTTTCTTTTTTTACGTTTTTATTTTTCATACTTCCTCATTATTAAATTAATAATTATGATGATGTTTAATTTAAAGTTAGTCGGAATGACAATTTACATCATTAACAACGTTCTGAATTATAGAATTTGTAAAATATAGAGTTTATATAAATATATTTAAAAATACTTTACTTATTTACGATACTCAATTGCACTTTACAACACTTCATCTACTTTCGTACTTACTAATGACGTAAAATGTTATAAAATTACATTTCTGTTATTATATCGTTGTGAATTATTTTTAAATATATCGATTTATAAGAAAAATATTATTAGTATATTTACTGTTAAATTCGCTTTCATTATAAACAAGTCGTTGTTAAACGGAAATTCATAGTTAGCTTCCTTACAGTTTTTTTTTTTTTTTTTTGTTATATCACGTGCGTTTGTTTTGTCACATTTCACCAGTTATCGGGTCATGCGGCTACACGCTGCCTATTGGCTAACGTTTACACCACGTGACGGAAAAGATCCCCTGGTGGAGGAAACTATAAAAGGGAACATACGACCTGAGTGAATACCTTTTTTTCGTTTGTTCCTTGGCACTGTGGATGTTCGGACAGACTATAAGGGAATCCAAGTTATCATCAAGCGAAGGTAATCAAAGAAATACTAATCACCGAGTATCAATGGTAAGGCTAAGATATTTAGAAGATATTCGTGAAGTAGATTAATAAAATTAAGAGGACTGTTAATTTTAATACGATTGGGCTTTGTCTAAGAGCACATGGTGGATGTGTACGATATTCTAAGAAATAGAAGATCGATAACTAGAAAGGTCCCCTGTTCTGCACCAGGAGGATTGAGTTACATGTGTTGCTATATACTGTAATTATATTTTTGTCTATGCTCACTTTCGTGCGATATACTCGTTTTATTTGTTGAAAAAGAAAATCGAAAAATTGTAATCAATTAAGCGTGGTGTCTAACCCTTGTACTTCATAGTGTTGAGCTATCTGATACCTGGGGTATATATAAATAAATGTGTTACCAATTTTTTAATGATTATCTTGTGAAGTCCTCATTTCTCTACTAACATATAGACATAATATACCTTGGTATATTAACAATCTCCACAAATACAAATACAGTAGTCTATACTTTGCTATTTTAACATTGACTATTTTAAAATGTTCTTTTTTTCAATAGGTTAGAGATTTGCAGAAAGTATATTTTCTACAAATTTTTGATATTTACAAAATAATCTGAAATGTTGAAAAAGAACTATTTTATTATCATGTATTTACATTTACAATTTTAAATGTGTTAACAGTTGATGTTAGGTAATTAATAAATTATTAAGACTACAATTGGTTAATTAATATTTTAAGTTAAATTTAAATATCTTTGTGCTAAATTTTATCTACAGTTGACACTTTTTCTACATTCTAGATAAAGAAAAATGGTATCAAATGTAGATCTAATTGAGCCAAATGTTTTTTCTTTACATAATATGTATAGAAATATGTATTTTTCTTTTCAGGTTTATTTTGTAAAAATTGTAAAATAAATATATTTTGTTTTTATCTATATATAAATATAGTAATTAGTATATGATGCAACCTAATTTGCGAGAACCTCGATCAAAACGTTTTGCTCCATATTTTGCTCAAAAAGAATTATTGCCTTTTGAAACAATTGAAAAAAATGGAAAAAAATATATAATACAGGAGAATTATGTTGGATATTTAACAGCAATAGGAGTTGAAATAAAAGATGAAAGAAGCATACATCAGTTACATGAAAAGGTAAGTTTAAATTAATTTTAAATAAAGTTTAAGTACAGAAAATGTTTGAGAATAATTCTAAATTTTTTTATATGTTTAATCATTAAATTTATTTAGAACTAATAACTGAATAAAACTATAGTATAACACAGGCATAAAAACCAAAAATCCAGCAAAAGAAATGAAAACTTAATGATAAACTAATATTTTCTACTGCTTTTAGCAATCCTTGTCAGGTTACAAACTGAAAAGACAACACAAAATCAAACATAAATTTTTAAAAGTGTGGAACTGGTGTCTGATTGGATGGTGAAGTAAGCATGAATTTGAGTGTTTACCCATTAGAAAATTTTTTGAGGATTTCAGAATAAGATTGTCATACTTGCAAAAGGGTGTTATTGTCCTTGTAATTAATGGGGGTTTGTATATCTTCAGTTTCTCTAAATGCTTGAGATGGTTGGGATTATACTCATTTGTTTAGCCATTGATTAAAAGAACACCTAACATCAATTAAAAAGGGTCACACTACAACTGCTTTGGCAGCTTTTGCTATAAATGATCAAGTTCAACTGCATCTAGACAAGGCACATTGCATAGACCACTCCAGGGCCCTTAGCCTCGAGTTTTTCATGTTGTACTCAAATTGATGTCATTGAACTCACTCATGTTACTATGACTCACATAATCGGTAGTCACGATTTAGACTCATCAAGCGAACTTGAAATGCAAGCAGAAGTAGGTCATATTCACTTGTTTACATGTGTCATTAAGCATGATGGGATTATTTACAATGCATCTGGGTTTGTGACTATAATGATTCGAACAATTCAACTTAACTGTAACAAGTTGTAAATAAATCAACATGAATTAGTTTACATGTGCTACAGTTAAAAGTTTTGTCTTATCTATACTAATATTATAAAGCGGTAATGGCAGTTCAGGTGTGTTCGACAAGAGCTCCGCTACTTCCGACTAGACAAAAGATTGTAGTGCTAATCGACCATCGCCTACAAGTTGTTATGTCGGATAACTTGACACATTTCCACTTCCCCTTGGGATGTGGACTTATGCGGACTCGACTGTATAAAGACATGTGTTTTCATGGATGGCAAATAGTTAAATTAATCTTTATATGCACGATTAATTATGACTGTTAATGTGTACATTTCTGACCATTTATCAACATACAGGGCTGGCAAAAAAATATATAGTGCTATGTGACTATTGTAAATATTTTTATCTTGTTTTGTTTTTTTTTTTTTTTTTTTTTTTTTTTTTNTTTTTTTTTGTTATATCACGTGCGTTTGTTTTGTCACATTTCACCAGTTATCGGGTCATGCGGCTACACGCTGCCTATTGGCTAACGTTTACACCACGTGACGGAAAAGATCCCCTGGTGGAGGAAACTATAAAAGGGAACATACGACCTGAGTGAATACCTTTTTTTCGTTTGTTCCTTGGCACTGTGGATGTTCGGACAGACTATAAGGGAATCCAAGTTATCATCAAGCGAAGGTAATCAAAGAAATACTAATCACCGAGTATCAATGGTAAGGCTAAGATATTTAGAAGATATTCGTGAAGTAGATTAATAAAATTAAGAGGACTGTTAATTTTAATACGATTGGGCTTTGTCTAAGAGCACATGGTGGATGTGTACGATATTCTAAGAAATAGAAGATCGATAACTAGAAAGGTCCCCTGTTCTGCACCAGGAGGATTGAGTTACATGTGTTGCTATATACTGTAATTATATTTTTGTCTATGCTCACTTTCGTGCGATATACTCGTTTGATTTGTTGAAAAAGAAAATCGAAAAATTGTAATCAATTAAGCGTGGTGTCTAACCCTTGTACTTCATAGTGTTGAGCTATCTGATACCTGGGGTATATATAAATAAATGTGTTACCAATTTTTTAATGATTATCTTGTGAAGTCCTCATTTCTCTACTAACATATAGACATAATATACCTTGGTATATTAACAATCTCCACAAATACAAATACAGTAGTCTATACTTTGCTGTTTTAACATTGACTATTTTAAAATGTTCTTTTTTTCAATAGGTTAGAGATTTGCAGAAAGTATATTTTCTACAAATTTTTGATATTTACAAAATAATCTGAAATGTTGAAAAAGAACTATTTTATTATCATGTATTTACATTTACAATTTTAAATGTGTTAACAGTTGATGTTAGGTAATTAATAAATTATTAAGACTACAATTGGTTAATTAATATTTTAAGTTAAATTTAAATATCTTTGTGCTAAATTTTATCTACAGTTGACACTTTTTCTACATTCTAGATAAAGAAAAATGGTATCAAATGTAGATCTAATTGAGCCAAATGTTTTTTCTTTACATAATATGTATAGAAATATGTATTTTTCTTTTCAGGTTTATTTTGTAAAAATTGTAAAATAAATATATTTTGTTTTTATCTATATATAAATATAGTAATTAGTATATGATGCAACCTAATTTGCGAGAACCTCGATCAAAACGTTTTGCTCCATATTTTGCTCAAAAAGAATTATTGCCTTTTGAAACAATTGAAAAAAATGGAAAAAAATATATAATACAGGAGAATTATGTTGGATATTTAACAGCAATAGGAGTTGAAATAAAAGATGAAAGAAGCATACATCAGTTACATGAAAAGGTAAGTTTAAATTAATTTTAAATAAAGTTTAAGTACAGAAAATGTTTGAGAATAATTCTAAATTTTTTTATATGTTTAATCATTAAATTTATTTAGAACTAATAACTGAATAAAACTATAGTATAACACAGGCATAAAAACCAAAAATCCAGCAAAAGAAATGAAAACTTAATGATAAACTAATATTTTCTACTGCTTTTAGCAATCCTTGTCAGGTTACAAACTGAAAAGACAACACAAAATCAAACATAAATTTTTAAAAGTGTGGAACTGGTGTCTGATTGGATGGTGAAGTAAGCATGAATTTGAGTGTTTACCCATTAGAAAATTTTTTGAGGATTTCAGAATAAGATTGTCATACTTGCAAAAGGGTGTTATTGTCCTTGTAATTAATGGGGGTTTGTATATCTTCAGTTTCTCTAAATGCTTGAGATGGTTGGGATTATACTCATTTGTTTAGCCATTGATTAAAAGAACACCTAACATCAATTAAAAAGGGTCACACTACAACTGCTTTGGCAGCTTTTGCTATAAATGATCAAGTTCAACTGCATCTAGACAAGGCACATTGCATAGACCACTCCAGGGCCCTTAGCCTCGAGTTTTTCATGTTGTACTCAAATTGATGTCATTGAACTCACTCATGTTACTATGACTCACATAATCGGTAGTCACGATTTAGACTCATCAAGCGAACTTGAAATGCAAGCAGAAGTAGGTCATATTCACTTGTTTACATGTGTCATTAAGCATGATGGGATTATTTACAATGCATCTGGGTTTGTGACTATAATGATTCGAACAATTCAACTTAACTGTAACAAGTTGTAAATAAATCAACATGAATTAGTTTACATGTGCTACAGTTAAAAGTTTTGTCTTATCTATACTAATATTATAAAGCGGTAATGTTTGTAAGTATATAAGTAAGTAAGTTTGTATGCAGCAGGTAATCTCCGAAACTACTCATCCAATTTCAAAAATTCTTTCACCAATATTTAGAATGGAACTTCAGGGTGGACATAGGCTGTGTATTATTCCGTTAAACAGTCATATAAATTAAACGATATCATCTATGATTAAGGCTTTTATGTCCAACAGATGGCGCTACGAGTACGACGCCCTAAGTTTGCTTTTCTGTGAAAATGAACTAAAGCAGATCATCTTCTATCTATTTATATAAATAAAAATATAATGTTTGTTTGTTCTTACCAATTCCTTTGAAATTTTGACATAACGCTGCATTCGAATACGCAAGTGTTTTTATATAATATACGTATGGATACAATTTCCGTAATCACTCAGGATATATTTCTTCATACTTGAAGGTCAGACTATTTACAAAAATATCAAAATTTTCGAGTCTATCTTAATCCTTTTTATACACACCAGAAGTAACAGTTAACATGGGTTTTACTGAAGAATATACTTCTTAAAACAAAGGTAAACAATAAGTAAAAAAATTCACAAAGTTAAAAACGATCAATGTGGTGAGAAGAAAATTTTGATATTTTTGTAAATAATCTGACCTTCAAGTATAATATACGTGTCGAAATTCCCCCCACTGAAGGGAGATGGTTAGGATTAAGGCTTACGGTAAAGAACTCTGCTTCTATTTATACTATTTTAATGCGGGGTTTTGCGTTTTTGATTGCGTTTTAATAGGGTATGTCAAGAGAATGTCTTTTCTCTTGACGTACCCTATTAAAACGAAGAAATTTTTCGAAAAATTTCCCCCCCACGGGGGAAGTGTTATACATTTATAATAGATACATTTTGAGCCATAACAACGCGTGGCGGGGTCTGCTAGTAGCAATATAGTACACAGAAACAAAATGGAAACTTCCAATGTTTTATTTTAAAAAATAAGCAAAAAGAACAAAAAGAAATATTAGTAACATATATAGAAAATGACTAAGACAAAACCTTTCTCACTTGTTTCTAGCCATTTTTGGCCTTCTTAATAGGCCTTCTACAGGTACACTGTGGTACCTGAAGAAGGCCACTCAGGTACCTTCTTCAGGTACACAGTGTGTAAACGGCTAGAAACAAGTGAGAAAGGTTTTGTCTTAGTCATTTTAAATAGTTCTAGCCCCAAATGCATAGAAATATATGGAAAATAATAAGAAAATGAACAGTGGAAAATTTGACAATGAATTTACAAGAAAAAGATGATTTGATTTGTGGAGAGAATTAGTTGAAAAATTAATTGTGTATTGGAGCTAAAAAATGTGTTGTGCAATGGAAAAAGTATTTTAATTTAATCCTTTTTATTAGTGTTGATATGACATGAAAAGAAATGGCATCTACTCGTGGTCGAAAAATTTGTTGCCTTCTTAAACAACTCTTTAAGCT